AAGCCACGGGGAGTTAGAGCTGACACAAGCTAGAATTGTGCTGTCCACCCCTTAGTATTTAATCTAAAATAATTACATTCAGGTAAGTTTTAAAAATTAGTGCCTATGTCCCACTGGCTGCATTTAAAAAGATGTATATGGCTAGTTACTGCCTTTTGAACCATATAGAGCATCGTGGGAAGTTCTATCAAGCAGCCCTAAGAAAGTGTCAGGACCTCCAAGCTAAGTGAGCAGAGACTCTAGGCAGTAAGGCTTGGGGTAAACATCAGGAAACCTGAGCCTCCCATACAGAACATCCATGAGGACAGAGGCATTCAGTACCTGAAGACATATTTGAGGCCTCAGGTATATGCCAGCCCGTTGGATGATTGGATACTCCAGACACATAGAGCCAGTATCCCTCAAAGCTGGTAATGAAGAGAGTGAAAACCTGAGGCCTGTCACTGACACTGTAGACTCCTCTGAAGGCACCGGCCAAGCGGCACTCACGTTACTGACTTCAGGACCACACTTCCGGGAAAGGTGACGTGCTTCTGCTGGCTGCTTTGAACAACATCAGAGTCCCAGGAGGTGTCCACCGCAACAGCAATGTCCAGCTTTGTGTTCAACAACAGGTTGCTCCCGGGGCCCTATGGCAGAACATCTCTTGTGCCAGAGGCTCATATATGGAGAGATGACCAGGTGCACAGCAGAGGACATGAATGGAGGGCTCAATGAACTGATGGCTGGAGAAAGCCCATTGCTATCCTCCTCAGTCTGCTCCAGAGAGTTGCAAGGTCTCCCTGCATGGGAGACAAAGGGTGCCAGCTTGGAGAGGCATCTCCGAGAGGCACCAGGCTGGATGTTTCTAGAAAGAAAGATGCATTCCTTTCCTAGCTCTGCCTTAAGTAAGTGCCACTAGGTGGGTGGCTTAAAAGAAACATGAATTCTCTCAGGTTCTGGGTGACAGTTGAGGTCCCGAGACAGAGCGGTGGATTTTTTTTTCCTGCCAGCCCAGCCATCTGTTTTATTATAGAAACTTTATGTGGTTTAATAGGCTCTCTTGGAAGTTAATATGGTTTGAAAAATTGCCTGCAATAAATCCTTTCTTTCTTGCACATAAGCTTATCCGTTCTTCATTCAGAGAAAATTAGTTTCTCTCTATCCACCTTACATAAATATGGGGGAGAAAAGTACTTAAAGAATATCAGTCTGAGGGAGTATCTAGTTTTGAACCTGCCCTAGGGACATGGTGAAGTCCTCTGGTCTATGATGTCATTCTTCACCAGACCTGTTCAGAACAAGGGTCTTTATGCTCTTGGAAACTCCAGCGCACTCTGACTGGCCTCAGGGGTTGGTGCCCACCTTTGTCCCCTCCCCATTCACACCAGTGAGTTTTTAAATTTACATTTATTCATTAGGCAGCACACAGGTCATGCTGTAGGTACAGGGGTCAAAGGACAACCTGCAAGAGTCAGTTCTCTCCTTTCACCATGCAGGTCCTAGGTGGTTTGACGGCAAGCTCCTTTATGAAGAAAAGCTTCAAGTTTGCAAGACCAGTGGTTAACATACAGGTTAAACACCGAGCTCCAGAGCACGACTGCCTGGGTTCAAATCCACCTTTGTTACTTGGAAGCTGAGTATAAATGGAAAGTTATGGCTTTCTCCTAGTGAGAGGTGGCTCAGTGGTTAAGAGTATTTGTCATTCTTACAGAGGACCTGGGTTTGAATCCCAGTACTCACAAACACTTGTAACTCCCATTCTAGGCAGGGAATCTGGCACCCTCTTCTGGCTTCCCTGAATACTGCATGCATATGATACACAAACATACTGGAGCACACACAAAGTAAACTTTGTGTTGACTTCTCAGACCCAGAGGGGACAGGAGCTTTACAAAAAGGACAACAAAGCCAAAAAGTCTGGGCCCAGGGGGGCCTGCAGAAACTGATGCACCAACCAAGGACTATGCACAGAGAATATCTAGACCTCCTGGTCAGATGTGCCCCATAGGCAGCTCAGTCTCTATGTGAGTAAGGTCTCCGAGTAAGGGGAGCAGGGGCTACCTCTGACATAAACTCAGTTGCCTGCTCTTGATGACTTACCCTTGGTGGTGGCCTTGCCAGGCCACAGAGGAAGCAGATACAGGCAGTCCTGATGAGACGTGATAGGCTAGGGCCAGATGGCAAGGGAAGAGGATTACCCCTTTCAGTGGACTAGGAGAAAGGGTTAGAGGAGGAAGATGGAGGGAGGGAGGGAGGGAAGAAGGGAGGGAGGGAGGGACCAAAATGAGTTGAGGAAGGTGTCTACAATCAGGATATAAAGTGAATAAAATTGTAAAAAATAAAAATTAAAAAAACATTGACTTCTGTTAGTGTTAATTATGCCTCAGTAACACTGGCCATGTTTTAAATTAGTGTCCATGGTATGGCAAGCCTTCTGAAAGTGTTGTTGGAAAGTCATTGTATTAAAAACATTGGAGACAAAGTGTTGTCAAAAAGGATTGTATTAACTGTGGTCATTCGAAACTGGATTCTCTCCCCACCTCACTATAGCCTAGCTACATTTACCTTTCCAGGGAAGAACGTGAATAAACATGAAATAAGGGCCAGTGATGCAGTCAGTCAGCAGGCTGAGTTCAAGAGCCTATACTACATCTATCACCTTGCACATATGATCAGGAATTGTCCTGGATGGAAAAGACTATGAAGCTACCCTACCTGATTGTTGCAAAAACCAAAGTTCCCATAAGGGTAGGGAGGTGGCTCAATGTGTAAAGGCACCTGCAGCTTAGCCTGGTGACCGGAGTTCAAGTCCCTAGATCCATCCATGTAATAGAAGGAGAGAAGTGACTCCTACAAGGTATCCTCTGACCTCCGCACAAGTGCCCGCACATGAACACACACATACACAAACGAATGTTACAAATTATTTAAATGGATAAGTGCATGTCCTGAAAATTCTAAAGCAATATGAATATATCAGTCATGATAACAGTGGAAGAGAGGGGCTAGGTAAGCATTGCTGTCTTTGCAAAGTGGGCAACAGAGAGCAAACAAGAGTAAACCAGACTTTAACAGTAAGAAGAACTTCATCTCTTTAGTTCATAAACACTGGCAAGCCCAGCATGATTAACTGGGCATGCAGAGAATGCTGGTGCATGAGAGATCTGGGAGAGGGGAACGGAAAGGATGAGGGCCCCTGTCACCAAGTCCCAGCACATGCCCTCTTGGTAGGTGTGGGAGGAAGGCTCTTTGGCAGCACCTGTATGTGTAGGGGCAGCCCGTATCTCCTTGTTCTCCTGTCCCCTCATTTTCTGCCCAGCTCTCCCTCTGGTGAACCCCTTCCAGAAGACAGCCCAGGAAACCCAATGTGTAGAGGTTAGCTTCTTCATGGAGTAGGACAGAAAGTTGCAGACATGGATCTGGGAAAGGGAACAAACAGGAGGCAGAAAGAACTACAGCTGATGGCATGATGGAACAAGTAAATGCCTTGCATCCTCTAGTCTTCTAATTGACTTGCTGAAGAGAAAACAAGAGCCACAGGTTGTAGTGGAAGAGTAAATGTCTACCTAATGAAGAGCATACTTGAAAACAAAGGCAGCTTGGTCTTCACTCTCATGGCCTCCTGTAGAGTTTTGATCCAAGTCCGGCAACATAGCTACCCTGGCAAGAGGTCACATCCAAAGACTTAGGTCTATGTGATCAGGCTAAAATAAAGACACACCTTTAGTACACACCTTTAACTCCAAACAAAGACATCTAATTGAGGGACAGACAAAATGACAAATCAGAGAAAGATTTGACAGAATGAATCAGAGATAGGATACACCCAACTCTCACAAAAACAGACAGGAAAGAGAAGCTACTTAAGAGCAAAGAAGAGAGAGAGTAGGGGAGTTTGTGGAGAAAGTCCAGCAGAGTTTGGGAGTACAGTACAGCTGGGTGCAGTTCAGTTGAGTTCAGTTCAGCTAGTGAAGTTCAGTTCATGCAATTCAGAGGCAGTTCCCAAGCAGAGCAATTCGGTGAGAAGTGGAGAGAAGCCAGTTTGAATCAGTCTGCTTGGCGAGGAGTTTTGATCCAAAACAGCTGAGTTGAACTAGCTAGCCAGAGTTCAGAAAAAAAAAAAAAAAAAAAAAAAAAAAAAAAAAAAAAAAAAAAAACAGAAAGGGTGAGTTTATTCAGCCATAAGACTCAGAGGTTGAAAACATTCTAGGCCTAGGTTGGCAGACAGAGGCTAGAAGCAGAAGCCTTCAAGGTCTGGGCTTACAGAAGATCAGATTGTATGGAAGCTAGAAGCTTCCAGGCCAGGCCTAGGCCTAGGCATTGTTAGATAAGAAAGAAAGAAAGAAAGAAAGAAAGAAAGAAAGAAAGAAAGAA